CTCCAGCTGGGAACGGGGAAAAAAATGGGAATTTGGGAAAAAATGGGGAAAAAATGGGGAAAAACGGGGAAAAAAGATAGAAAATTGGGAGAAAAAATGGGGAAAATTGGGGGGAAAATGGGAAAAAGGGGGTGAGGTCACTGGTGTGGGGCCACCAGAGCTTCAGGGACCTCTCCAGCTGGGAACGGGGGAAAACGGGAGAAAACCTTGGGATTTTGGGGTACTTGGGAGGTTCTGGATGGAATTTTGAGGTCCCTGGGTGAGATTTTGGGGTCCCAGTGGGATTGGGGGGTTCAGGGTGGGATTTTGGGGCTCTCCAGGTGGGATTTTGGGGTTCCCAGATGAATTTTGGGGTTTCCAGGTGGGATTTGATGCCCCGGGTGCCATTTTGAAGCACCTGACTGGGTTTTTTTTTTTAGGATTTTTGAGGTAAATTTTGGGGTCCCCAGCTGAATTTGGGATTCCCATGTGAATTTTGGGGTCCCCAGGTGGATTTTGAGGTTCCCATGTCAGATTTTGGGGTTTCCAGACGAATTTTGGGGTTTCCAGGTGGGATTTGAGGCCCCGGGTGCCATTTTGAAGCACCTGACTGGGTTTTTTTTGGAATTTGTGAGGTGAATTTTGGGGCTCCCAGTTGAATTTTGGGGTCCCCAGGTGAATTTTGGGGTCCCCAGGTGGATTTTGAGGTTCCCACGTCAGATTTTGGGGTTCCCAGATGAATTTTGGGGTTTCCAGGTGGGATTTGATGCCCCGGGTGCCATTTTGAAGCACCTGAGTGGGTTTTTTTTAGGATTTTTGAGGTGAATTTTGGGGCTCCCAGTTGAATTTTGGAATTCCCAGTTGAATTTTGGGGTCCCAGATGAATTTTGGAGTTCCCAGGTGAATTTTGGGGCTCTGCAGTTGAATTTTGGGGCTCCCCAGGTGGGATTTGATGCCCCGGGTGCCATTTTGAAGCACCTGAGTGGGTTTTTTTGGAATTTGTGAGGTGAATTTTGGGGTCCCAGCTGAATTTGGGCTTCCCATGTGAATTTTGGGGTTCCCAGGTGAATTTTGGGGTCCCCAGGTGGATTTTGAGGTTCCCATGTCAGATTTTGGGGTTTCCAGATGAATTTTGGGGTTTCCAGGTGGGATTTGAGCTNGGGTTTCCAGATGAATTTTGGGGTTTCCAGGTGGGATTTGAGCTCCCTGGGTGCCATTTTGAAGCACCTGAGTGGGTTTTTTTGTAATTTGTGAGGTGAATTTTGGGCTTCCCATGTGAATTTTGGGGTCCCCAGGTGGATTTTGAGGTTCCCATGTCAGATTTTGGGGTTTCCAGTTGAATTTTGGGGCTCCCCAGGTGGGATTTGAGCTCCCTGGGTGCCATTTTGAAGCACTTGAGTGGTTTTTTTCTGAATTTGTGAGGTGAATTTTGGGCTTCCCATGTGAATTTTGGGGTCCCAGGTGGATTTTGGGGTTACCTGGGTGGGGCAGTGCCCGTCAGCATCCAGGAAATAGAAGAGCCCCCCGTGCTGGGGGTCCCAGCCCCATTTCAGGGGTCCCTCCACCAGCGCTGCCACCGCCCTGGCCCCCAAATCCGCGTCCCCCCGGCGCCCCGAAAACTCCAGCAGCAGCCAGGCGGCCTCCAGGGCGTGGCCTGGGGCACCCCGAAACCCGGGGGGGCGAAAATTGGGGGGAAAAAGCAAAAAAAATGAGAAAAAAAGACAAAAAAATGAGAAAAAAGAGCAAAAAAAATTGAGAAAAAAGAGCAGAAAATTGGGGTTATGTAGCTGGAAATTGGGGTTTAGGAGCCCAAAAATTGGGGGAAATGCCTCAAACAGGGGGGACCCCGAATTTGGAGGGGGGAAGAGCAGAAAATTGGGGGGAGAGGAGTAAAAAAATGAGGGAAAAGGAGAAAAAAACCCGGGGGAATCTTCCCCAAAATTGGGATCAACCCCCCCAGATTGGGATTTCCCCACAAAATCGGGGTCAAAGCTCCCCAAAATTGGGATTTCCTCACAAAATGGGCCTCCCACCCCAAATTTGGGTTTCACCCCAAAATCGAGCTCCAAACCCCCGAAATTGGGATCAACCTCCCCCAAAATCGGGATTTTCCCCCAAAATCAGCAACTCCCTTCCCCAAATCTGGGTTTCCCCCCGAAAATTGATCTCCAACGCCCCCAAAATCAGAATTTCTGCCAAAACCAGCTATTCCCTTCCCCAAATTCATTTTTTCCCCCAAAAATCGAGCTCCAACCCCCCAAAATTGGAATTTCCCCCCAAAATCAGCAACACCCTTCCCTCAAATTCACTTTTTCCCCAAAAAATCAAGCTCCAACCCCCCAAAATTGAAATTTCCCCCAAAATCAGGAACTCCCTTCCCCAAATTCATTTTCCCCCCCAAAAATCAAGCTCCAACCCCCCAAAATTGAAATTTCCCCCAAAATCAGGAACTCCCTTCCCCAAATTAAATTTTCTCCCAAAAAAATCGAGCTCCAACCCCCCAAAATTGAAATTTCCCCCAAAATCAGGAACTCCCTTCCCCAAATTCATTTTTTCCCTCAAAAAATCAAGCTCCAACCCCCCAAAATTGGAATTTCCCCCCAAAATCAGCAACTCCCTTCCCTCAAATTCATTTTCCTCCCCAAAAATCAAGCTCCAACCCCCCCAAAATCAGGGTTTCCCCTTCCCCAAATTCATTTTTTTCCCCAAAAAATCGGGATCAAGCCCCCAAAATCGGTGTCCCCCTCCCCAAATCGGGGTCCCCCTCCCCAAATCGGGGTCCCCCCTCCCCAAATCGGGGTCCCCACTCCCCAAATCGGGGTCCCCCTTCCCCAAAATTGGGGTCCCCCCTCCCCAAAATTGGGGTCCCCCCTCCCCAAATTGGGGTCCCCCTCCCCAAATCGGGGTCCCCCTCCCCAAAATCGGGGTCCTCCTCTCCAAAATCGGGGTCCCCCCTCCCCAAATCGGGGTCCCCCCTCCCCAGATCGGGGTCCCCCCTCCCCAAAATCGGGGTCCCCCTCCCCAAAATCGGGGTCCCCCCTCCCCAAATCGGGGTCCCCCCTCCCCAGATCGGGGTCCCCCTCCCCAAATCGGGGTCCCCCCTCCCCAAATCGGGGTCCCCCCTCCCCAAATCGGGGTCCCCCCTCCCCAAAATCGGGGTCCCCCCTCCCCAAATCGGGGTCCCCCTCCCCAAATCGGGGTCCCCCCTCCCCAAATTCGGGTCCCCCCTCCCCAGATCGGGGTCCCCCTCCCCAGATCGGGGTCCCCCTCCCCAAAATCAGGGTTCTCCTCCCCAAATCGGGGTCCCCCTCCCCAAATCGGGGTCCCCCTCCCCAAATCGGGGTCCCCCCTCACCGGGGTTCATGAGGCGCCCGAGGCTCCCCGGCAGCTCCTCCCCCTCGGGGCTGACGTTCTCCAGCACCACCGAGTCCCCCCGCTGACACCCCAAATTTGGGGGGGGTCCCCCGGTGAGGGCGGGACCCCAATTTTGGGGAGCCCCCGGGGCTGCTCGTGGGGGAAAAGAGCCCCCGGGGGGATTTTGGGGGTCCCAGGAGGGATTTTGGGGGTCCCAGGAGGGATTTTGGGGGGCCCAGGAGAGATTTTGGGGGGCCCAGGAGGGATTTTGGGGGGCCCAGGAGAGATTTTGGGGGTCCCAGGGGGGATTTTGGGGGGGCCAGGGGGGATTTTGGGGGTCCAAGTGTAATTTTTTTGGGTTCCCAGGTGTGATTTTTTTTGGGGGGGGGTTCCCAGGCTGAATTTTGGGGTCCCCAGGCTGGTTTTCAGGATGCCCAGGCTGATTTTTGGGGTTCCCAGGCCAATTCTGGGGTTCCCAGGCTGATTTTTGGGTTCCCAGGATAATTTTTGGGGTTCCCAGGCTGGTTTTTGGGCTGCCCAGACCGATTTTGGGGTTCCCAGGCCGATTTTGTGGTCCCCAGACCGATTTTAAAGTTCCCAGGATAATTTTTGGGGTGCCCAGACCGATTTTGGGGTTCCCAGGATAATTTTTGGGGTTCCCAGGCTGTTTTTTGGGGTTCCCAGGCCGATTTTGGGGTTCCCAGGCCGATTTTGGGGTCCCAGACCGATTTTGGGGTTCCCAGGCTGTTTTTTGGGGTCCCCAGACCGATTTTGGGGTGCCCAGGCCGATTTTGGGTTCCCAGGATAATTTTTGGGGTCCCCAGGATAATTTTTGGGGTCCCCAGACCGATTTGGGGTTCCCAGGCCGATTTTGGGGTGCCCTGGCCGATTTTGGTGTCCCCAGACCGATTTTGGGGTCCCCAGGCTGATTTTGGGGTCCCCAGACCGATTTTGGGGTTCCCAGGATAATTTTTGGTGTCCCCAGGCCGATTTTGGGGTGCCCTGGCCGATTTTGGGGTGCCCAGGCCGATTTTGGGGTTCCCGGGATAATTTTTGGGATTCCCAGGCCGATTTTGGGGTCCCCAGGCTGATTTTGGGGTCCCCAGACCGATTTTGGGGTTCCCAGGATAATTTTTGGGGTTCCCCAGGCCGATTTTGGGGTTCCCAGACCGATTTTGGTGTCCCCAGGCCGATTTTGGGGTCCCCAGACCGATTTTGGGGTTCCCAGGATAATTTTTGGGGTTCCCCAGGCCGATTTTGGGGTTCCCAGGCCGATTTTGGTGTCCCCAGGCCGATTTTGGGGTCCCCAGACCGATTTTGGGGTTCCCAGGATAATTTTTGGGGTCCCCAGACCGATTTTGGGGTTCCCAGGCTGTTTTTTGGGGTTCCCAGACCGATTTTGGTGTCCCCAGGCCGATTTTGGGGTTCCCAGGATAATTTTTGGGGTGCCCTGGCCGATTTTGGGGTCCCCAGACCGATTTTGGTGTCCCCAGGCCGATTTTGGGGTGCCCTGGCCGATTTTGGGGTGCCCAGGATAATTTTTGGGGTGCCCAGGCCGATTTTGGGGTACCTGCAGGTGCATCAGGACGTGCCGCGCCCCCCACTCCGCCATGGCCTCGGCCTCGGGGTCGGGCTGATTTTGGGGGTCCCTCCGGGGGTCCCCCCAGAGCTGCAGCCCCACCTTCAGCACCATCAGGGCCTGGGCCAGCGCCTGCTGGGGGGGGGTCCCCGAAAACCGGGGGCGCCCCAATTCCATGGGGGCCCCCCGGGCCCAGCCCCACACGGCCCCGGCCCAGCGCCGGGCCCAGGCCTGCGGAAATGGGTCAGGGGGCTTCGGGGGGCTGGGGGGTCTCACCCAGAAT